GCAGAATCGGTTCCAGACTGAACAACTTATTCCAGTTACTTTATTCCTGAGTGAGCGGTCAGAACATGAAGATAACATTGATGGACATTGATGAAGAAAGCTGAATCTGGGCATTTGTTGACGTTAAAAGGTGTGCAGATTCAATTAAAAGAATGATATGGTACTGCAATTCCATGGAAATACTTAAAGTGAAACTAGTCTATCCTACAAAATTTCATGATGTTCACAGAATACTCATTTTAAAAAAATATTGCAGTGATGGATTCATATTTCATGAACCTGTTTTTAGTATTCATGTTCTTCAAAGGATTTAAGCCCTGACAAAGGGTACTGTATTTGATAATAGCCAAGATATTGGTCAAAATAACTTTAGAACAGACCTAAGACAGCAATTATGCCCTTGGTCACTGAGCAGACTCTGTTGCCAATGTCTCCCAAGGCAAGACCTTAGATCATGAAGTAGGTAATCCCACGGAGAAATCTTAATTGACTTGATGTTTTCTGCCTACTTGCACAAAATTACATTGAGAACTGTTAAGCAGCCACAATGAATTTGTGCATGAATAATTACATTACCAATCTGTGAAATCCACTGTCTTGAAATACTAGTAAGATTTGTACTGTTAATTCAAATCAAAAGGATTGGCTATTATTCAAAAACACGTAACAGTTAGCAAGAAAAATAGTTATGTAGAAAGTTTTAACCAGGCTTTAATTCTTCAGTTATATTTTGAAGAACATTTGCCTATTTCTAAATGCAATTGACAGAGAGCTACTTGTTATGCACAATAATAAGTCTGAAAATGGCTGAATCAGTTCTCTGCAGCCTTCCTTCAATAAAAATATTTTGTCACCCAAAATATGATGCAACAAAAAAGACAAATCATTAAATCAATGAGCAATGACATTCATTTCTTGAATTCAGGGTACAAGTCAGTTGCTGGAAGGTCTAAAATTCATGTTTAGTTTGTTCATTAGATTTTGTTAAATACAAATTGTCTGAGTCGACATTTGCTCTAATGCAATGCAATTACCATTTAAAAAAATTATAAATAAGTGGTTTAACTCTGCTTTTGGCTGAGTATTACGGAGTTGCAGTCTTTCCACTGGGACCAATTGTTTGCCAATAGCCAATTGCTTCCAGTCACGAAATGATGCCACAATTACTATTAATGGCTTTATTTTTGTTACCTAATCAAATTAAAATCTCAGCAATCCTCAAGAGACCAACCTTAACCATACTGCTCTGGAATAACCCAGGAAATTGCAAGCCATCTGCTACTTCGAAAAGTAGAAGGCACTTGCAAAATATCACCATGCATCTGTACACTAACCTTGTCAAATGGTATTTGCTTTCAGTAGCCAATTACTAACAAATACATGATCATGTTTTACAGGTAATTTAAAATCCTACATGTATTTACAATACATAGACACCAGCTAGGAAAGAACGGTGGTGTCAAATCTGAAAAAGACTCTTACAATTTGGATATCAACACATTCAGGCTTAACACCTCTGCTACATTCAGATCAAAAAACCATGGGATGCAATTATGTTGATATACAGATTTTAAAAATGAAGATTTCATGCACAGAAAAACACAATCTTTACTTATTGAGGCAAAACAATTTTCATATAGAGTAAATTGCTGTAATTATTCATCGTGATTTTCCACACACTACGTTTTAAATACTGTTTCACACAGGATGGCAGGAAGGTGCCCAAAAGCTGCATAATACTTTAGTTGTCAGAAAGAGAATCTTACAATATGGAACAACGAATGCTTCATGGAGGTAGCACTAACGAATTCTTGAAAATATTATCTATGTCTGTATTCATTATTGAAGAATGAATCAAGGCACCAAGTTAACTGTTAAAGTACTGGTTTGGTCTTAACATTGCACTACAGTCCAACTATGATTAACAAGGTATAAAACCGAAGTTCAGCGTGGCAAGTAAAGGACATTATAATGAGGGATGAGCTCATTCCAATTTGTACCTGTGTGAACGGTTGGAGACCGAAATAGAGACAACATGCAATTGTATAACACCTTTCATGATCTCAGGTGTCACTTTAAAGCCAATAAAGCACTGAAGCGTGGCTAATAAGAACGCAGCAGCTAATCTCCATATTGCAAGATTTCACAACCAGCATGACCAGATAATCTGACTTTAAGAAGTCATTGTTGAGGGTGAGCACTAGGGTGAATACGACTGCTCATTTAATAGCGTTAAAAAGACTACCATTTTATTTTTCTGTATTTTTAGTCTTGGCTGAATTGGGAATAATTACTGAAGAAATTCTTGCACTTTTTAAAAAGTACCTGACACATTGAGGAGCTGTTTACTGTGCTGCCTGTTCAAACAATGGTGTTGGTGGTGGGGTGTAAAGATTATAGATGGGCTAGGACCAGGGGTGTGTACAAATGAAGATTCAGCCAGCAATACATAGCTGATTGGCTGTGGAGTGGTGACCACTTGTTGATTGCAAAGCCTGCAAACAACTCCATTTGGCTTCCAGGTAGCTGAACACCCTGTAGTTGTAAACATCTGGTCAGAAGCCACTAAAACCTCAAATGAAAGGGGCCGTCCTTTTCTCTGCAATAAAAAGTAAAAGTCCCCAAACATCAGACATGAGCTTCTACATGCTGTAGCAACAAAACATCATGCAGAAAATTCCTTTAATAACAGCATGAGGATATATCCACCAACTCCCTGTTCATGCACATCATTGTATCCCACATTTCTAAACATAAGTAGCAGCTCAATAAAATAATGCATTCTCAAAATCTCACACTAACCACCTAACTAGCTGACAATTAATTCAGTCTCTGGGGCTCTTCCTAGTCTGTTCAGCCATAGTTCCATTATAAACTACACTATCTCCAAGTTGCATGTATTCACAGCCCTGCAGTTTAATCAATAGAATTCAAATAGGCTGCGAACAGGTGCATTGACGATAACAAAATCTTCCATTTAGATATGGATTTATCATCATCTTTCTCCAGCACAGTAAGATCAAGTTCCAATACAGCATACCATTTTTATTTAGACAAGCAGATCCAAAAATTTATACTGCAAGTTTTACAGAAATTATCAAATTTTACACTCAGCTTTCTCCAGGTTTAGTTCACTATAGCTGTTTTTATTCTCTTATCAAACTGCAAGGAAATGGAAGCTCTCAACACTTTCTCTAATAAACCCAGAACGGTTTTTCTTAAAAGAAGTTAATATTTAGTGTGTTTTTTGCATCTTGAAGGGACCACACCAATCCCTATTTACAGCAGTTTACTGGAAATGGCTGAAGAGAAAACATAGGATTAAAAGTAGCACTAGCTTCTTTTAAAATGCAAAATAGTTTTATGAAAACTCAAACCTATGGACAATGAAATATAATAACCTAGTTTGGTAGCTTATTTCTTGAAATCACAACTGAACAGATTTATCTTAGTTAAGACTAAGAATCTGCAATGTTGTTACTCAAGTATGAATTCTTGACATTTTCCTTGCTATTTGCATCTTTGCTTGGGTTTCACTACTTGCACCTATTAAAGTTATCCCTATGTAATTAATAACAGGCATTACTTTTTGTAGGTCAGAACATTCTACAGATGCAACCCAACAACAGGGAATTCATAATCTTGGACGTGTTTTTCCTCAATTTAAGTAGTTGATTGAGCATGTCCATGGTAATACACATGCAGAAACCTATCAGGTTTAATCTACAAATGAAGCAAATGCAAAGTTGACAGATATATTTCCTGATTGGAAAGTAAAAAACACACAATCACCACACCACCCAAACAGGCAGAGGAGCCCTGTTGCCCAAATAATGAAAATTTAGGTTATAAATTGATAAATACCTGAGCATTCAAATCTGTGCAGGCATATTGGTGATGTCCACTAAAACTGTACAGTTAGTAAGAGAACACAGGTAAGCTTCTTACTGCATTCAATCAAGATAACAGATGCAGGTTAGGGATAGGCACAACCTTTATTTAGAATACTGAAACTAAACTGCCATCCTTTCACCTGAAGCTCTTGTAAGGGCTCACTGACATTTCATGAAGAAACCTCCCTTGGAACCAAGTTCAAAGAAAAGTCAGAAGAGATTTTGGTATGAACAATAAGTATTGGTTTCTTTTCAGTTACACAAAAGATGATGGACTTGTTTAGGACAACCTAACGTGAGACTGGTTTTTCAGCAATAAGAACCAATGTTGAGCAACAACGTATATTAACCACACCATGCATGTACAATTGGCAAAAGATACTTCCAAGGACTTGACAGAATTACTTCTCACCATAGCAACAAACTTCACATTATACATAAAAAAATTATATAATTACATAAACAACCTCTACATAAACATGTTACAGGGGTCTTTTTTAAAGATGGGAAGAGGGAACTCAGAAGCAAGATGTTTTTAAAATCTTGACCAAGATGATTGGGAATTCAAAAGCTATCCCAGGCAACGAATTCTATCGTTTGACGTGTACAAAGTGAGCTAGTCATGGCAGTTGCTGAAGTTGTTATTTTAGGAGGCAATGTGAAACAAACAGTACTCATGATAAGAATGCAGACACATGCAGTTGCTTCTGAACGTCTACACTTCCAAATAGTGGAATAACCACAGTGCTGTACAGATGATGGCAGCAATTCATTTGCACATACCATTGTTAATTGAAGAGTGCTATGGAAGTCTGTACTGGATACTTATCTAATTAGCCATTCTTTACAAGAATACAGAAAACAAATTCAGGTGGCTTTTCATTGATAGAACCACAGACTCCAACTTGAGCACTTTCCAGAAGAATACAGCAGTCAAATACAGGATCTTCACCTAATTTCTTTTATCTCCCCAAGTGCATATCTCAGCGGAGATCTGCACAAGCTAGAAAGTGAACCTGGAATCTACTCTATGTTCAAAATTCCCTGTCATGGGTCATAGGGTGAATGCAAATACTTGCCACTGGCAAAAAACAAGCAAGATCACAATTTTAATTAATGCTTTTATTAAATTTAAAGCAAAAACATGTAACACTTTCAGAACATAAACGTATTAAACAATGATTACAATTCAACTTTAATAGAAAACAAATTGCAAATTTACTCAAATGACTAGAAACTGGTTATTTACAAAATGGTCATTTAAAAAATCCTCTGCTGATGGCAGATAACTAGGTGCTATCTTATCAATCCTTTGCCAGCACTAATTCAGATGGGAAGCTAAGTGAACTTGAGAACTGTTCACTAATGTTAAGAATTCAGTACTTCTATGTCAATTAAATATTTCACAGAACAGTGAAAATTTGATATAGGAGGCAGAATTATGCCAATTCAATACTTACATAGGTAGTCTCCAACTGAATTTCCAATTCCCCTTTAACAGTTATTGTCTTAAATTTAAAAAATTCCATTTGGAGAAAATATTTCTAATGCAAAGGACCAGTGATCCAAGCTGCATTATATAGAAAAGACAATGACACTATTTGACATGCTGCCTCAGAAAACAAGTAGGCATATTTTTATCAATGTGACGTCTATCATATAACGGATATTGAAAGCTTGGGAGAACAAGATAAAATCAATACTAACTCTGCTGGGAGCTGTTATCTACTCAACATCAATATTTTTTCATGAAATTAGGAAAATTAATAAATGTTTGGATAAACGATAGAAAGGATAAAACCCAGTTGCGCAGAAACTCACTTGGGCTTTGTTTCCGCATCTGTCACTTGTCGAATATAGATACTGTCTTCAGGGTGCTCAATTTCACCTTTCTCATACATGTATGATGATGCTATAGCAATTGCAGAGCCATCATTGCTGAAAGCAAGCGATGCAATACTGGTTGGGTAGCGGTGGAACTGGCACAATCTTTTCTTATTGAAGGGGTCCCAGATATTCACAAATCCATCAGAGCCACCTAAAATGTAAACATCAAAAACAAACATTCAGTCCCACTTGTTTAAAATAAGAAATGGAACTTGTTGGCTTTGTCTGATAATTTACTAAGGTAATATTTTAACAGTTATTAAAAAGTCACCGCATTATCCTGTATTTGAAATCCATTCAATTTTCATTTACCTACAAATACTTCAGACAAATGACATTTCAAAATATGTTAACACAGCAACTTACAAAGAAAGGAGAGCTAGAATCACAAAGATGTAATATTTCAAATCAACCCTTCAATTTGGCACATTTCAAATGTTCACTATTTTTCTATATTACTGCCAATCTTGCTTGTTTCAATTTTTGGCTATACAATATTGTGTTATAATGCAAATCTTTGTCAAAAGGGTGTGTACAGCAAGTGTGCAGCAACACGATCACTTCAAAACCACACACCAATCTAACTTTTAAATATATTGCTATTATTTTATTATAATAGGTTATTATGTTCCACAAATTTAACCCTATCAGCATCACAGCACCTTTCATCACACTGGCTGCAGCTGTTCAAGCAACAGCTGAAAGAAAGCTAAAGATGATTAATCTTTTCAGATGCTCAATCCAGGAGAATTCAAACAAATAAAATAGCAGCAAAATTGTATGTTTTGAAGTAACTTAGGTTGGCTTTCATCCCTTCCCTCCCCCTCTCTTCAAATCAAAACTACTCTTAAAATGTAAAATGAAGACAGCTTTTTTTAAAAAGTCAAGGGTCTTCTTGTATACATTTCGGTGATTAATTCTCAAGATAATTGAAACATTTGTCTGCATATCCAGATACGTATGCTTTCAGCTCAAGCAAAGAAACAGAGGCAGAGTATCCACTTTGGAGCCAAATCTGCAACCCAGGTGAAAATGGCCCTAGTTTGCAAAGTACTTTCTGAAAATCAAATTTCCACTCAAAGCTTTGTCATATTAATGCCAGCATAAAAACTTGCAAAAGACAAAACAGCATGATTAGACAGCACCTTTAGAATTTTTTTTTCAGATGTTGCTTCCAAAAATAATATTCAATAAATTTAGGAATAGTAAATCAGTGCAGTTTTATCAATCCAGCTGAAAATGGACTTCATCATAAAATAGCAATTTTGAATCAGAATACCTAAAATCATTTGCCATAAGTCAGATTTTAAATAACAAACTATTTTAGCTATACAAAACAATTTCCTGGATGATTGATCTAGTCAATACTTTATTGAGCAAATTAAAATAAAAATTACACTCAAAATATTCTTAAACTGTCCCCATGAGTTCAGTCAGAACTGGCAAGTGGATGATCCATATCAGCCTCTTTCAGGTATCCCAGCAACAGAGGGCAGTCTTCAGCCAATTCCCGACACAAAGGAAGATGGTTGTGGTTTCTGAAGGTCAGTCATCTCGGGAGATTCTCAAGGAAACGTCTTTCACCCAATCATCTTCAGCTGCTTCACTGACCTTCCCTCCATCATAAAGGACAGAACTGGATACATTTACTGTGCAATCATCAGTGCTGAGCACTTTGCACAACTCCTCACTGAAGCAGTCCATGTTCAAATGTAGCAAGACCTAGATAATATCCAGCTTTGGGTTGACAAGTGGCAAGTAACATTTATGCCACACAAGTGCTGGGCAATGACCATCTCTAATGAGAATCTTGACATTCTTAACATTCAACGGTGTTACTATCAGCAACTCGTACTAAAATCCTGGGGTTACCATTAATCAGAAACCGAATGACTAGCCATTTAAATACATTGGCTACAACAAGTCCGAGGTCAAGAATCTTGCATTAAACAACTCACCTCCTGACTCTCCAAAGCCTGTCCACCATCTGCAAGGTGCAAGTCAGGAGTGTGATGGAATACTCTCCACTTGCCTGAACGAGTGCAGCTCCAACAACACTCTAGAAGCTTGACACCATCCATGACAAATTAGCCCACGAGTGGCACTAAATCAGCCAACATTTAGTCTCATCACCACTGATGCTCAATAACAGTGAGTACCATCTACGAGATGTACTGTAGAAATTCACCAGGTATACTTAGACAACACCTTCCAAAACCACAACCACCTCCATCTAGAAGAAACAGAGTAGCAGACATACACCTGCCGGCTCCCACCCAAGCTACTCAACATCCTTGCTTGGAAACAAATCATTTTTACAAGCTCAATTTTAGAATCTTCCCCAAGGTCTACAAATCAGCACAATTAGCAGAAAAATTGTAAAGGTTGTCAATTGATTTAATGGTCACACAGACATCTTACAGCACTGCCTTTTCCAGCTAACAAGATTGTGGAAACTACTTGCACTAGATGTCATTTGGATTGGGTGGATTTCAGAAAAATTGCTTTGATTTATGCAATCTAGCAGAAACTCCAAGGTTGAACAAATACTGCAGTACCAAAAAAAATTAGTGTCACAAAATATAACCTTTCATAGAAATCAGATTGCTAACACAGAGGCTCTATCCCTTTATTTCATCCCAGCTCTTCTTTCACACCAACAGTCTAGGCCAATATACTGGGTGACTAAGTTAAATAGGACTAGAATTCTATTTTCATATTCAGTCCCCAGAGATACTGCTGGACCTGCTGAGTTTCTATTTTTAAACCTGGACTCCCACGACTAGCTCTTCCTCTACTGTCTTCCCACTTCAACTGGTAAGGGAACAGACTGTTAACCATTTGGATTAATCTTCAATCTGACCAAAAAAGCCTTCGGCCACTTCGATCGACTCCAATATTTGAAAGAAAAAATAAGTTGTTTTAATTTCCCTATGTGTTCTCCTGAGTTTTGCTCTCAATGCGTATTCTGAAGAGATTACAATTTTATATTTCTAGAGACTTATAGGCAATTCTGAAGGAGTGGCAATGTTGCTCATCAGCCTGCCCTCAGCATCTCCAACTGCTCTCAAAACCAAACACACGTTCAAACTTCCACTACTGCCTACTACTTTACCTTTCTCCAAAATCTAATAACATATTTTATCCATATTTTCTTTCTGAAGTCCTCCAATCTAACTTCTACTGACCTGTCAAATAGACTGGGCAACATGAAAAATTATATCCTGTATCGAAGAGGCTCAGTTTTTTCATTCTCCTTCTGCCTTTCAACTTCTCTAAGATTTCTCCTCATCAGTTCATTTCCATGATCCATTCCTATTTCTATTAGTAGTCTACACAATGACATAACAGTGACTCCAATAGTTTTGTCTTCATACCCACATGCTCATCTGTTCTTACAGCTTCACCTTCAACTTCCTTTTCAAAAGGTGTGTGCATAACACCCAGTGATAATTCAGAAGCACATGGTCAACATCCATATACAAATGATCAAAATAGCACGTTCAAATGTTAGTTATCTTCATTTATAAAGTGTCTTAATGGCTAAGTGAAAGGATAGCAACCAAAAGAAAGTGTAAAACTAAAAATACCTTAAAAAGATGGCTCGGAGCAAAGAGGAGGCTCTGAGTAAGTGTTTTAAAAGAATAAAGAGCTAAAAGGTTCTACAAATAACAATAGAGGCAAAACAAGGGAGAATATATTCAAAGTGCTCAAAAACATAGAAAGAATCTAGTTATGGGAGACAATGTTGCCATTTAGAGGGAGGTGTTAAAATATGGTGACGGCAAGGAGCCAACACAGGTTTAAGAATAATGAATACAATCAGACATGTGGAATTAGTCCCCATATACAGACCCATGCAGAACAGAACCAGAAATGACAACCAAACTTAACAGACTGGACCATATAAATACCAAGCAGAGTAGAACAACATCGCTTCATCGGAAGCCACAATGATGATGTTACCTAGGATGGTGACGAAATGTCTGTACGATAACCAGCCAGCTCAGCAAGCAAGCCAACAACCTCATTCACAACCCAAGCTACAAATCTTTCGCAAGAACCCTAATCATACAGTTTTACCAAAACTGCATTTCTTTCACCACAGCTATTGTTTGCAAGATCACTTCGGCTTCTGGCAGACAAACAAAAACTGTTTTTACATGAGAAGGTTACACATATTCAAGATTCAGCCATGTTTAAAAATTAGTTAAAATTATCTGGCCAAAAATGCCAGAATATTCCTGTACACTAAGAAAAATTAGGACCTTTTTGTAAAGCTTTCAGCAGAATCAAAAGCATAGCTTAATGAGAAGCACTGATCAATCAATCAGGAGATGCATTTTCCCTGAAATGTCCCTATTGTTTAAATTTCCAAAGTAAGTTTGACTCTAACACGCTTCAGAAAAAAGTGCCACTCCAGGGCTCCAATCCATTAACCAAAATCTTTTATTGGTTTTTATCACAATCATTTCATTAACTTGTTCTATCGACATTAAAAATTCACATCAATTTTAAAGTTCATGTTTTTTAAATGGCTTTGGTTAAATTATCTGCAAAGAAATTACTTTATTCTTTAATGGAATGTGGACATTACTGGCAAGGCATTTGTTGTCCATCTCGAACTCAATGCTGTAGACCACTTGCAGGGTCACTGGGAAAGGAATTCAATGTGTGACTGTGAAGGAGATGGAGTGATGACAAGTCTGGATACTGTGCTGCTTTGAGCAACATACAGATAGGTGTTCTTTTATCTGCTGCACTTGTCTTTCTAGGTTGTAGAAGTCATAGGTGCTGTCGAACGAGCCTTAGTGAATTGCTGCAACAGATGCTTAAAATGCATGCTACTGTCACTATCGGTGGTGGAGTGAGTGAATGTTCGAGTTGGTGGATGGAGTGTTGATCAAGTAAGTGCTTTGCCCTGGATGGTGTTGAGCTTTAATTTTGTTCAAGCCATACTCCCAAAGGCAAATGGAGAGAGTATTCTGACGTTGACTTGCAGTTGGAGGACAGGTTTGGGGAGTCAGGATCTATTTTTAAAACCATTGCATGGTTAAAGTGATTCAAAATCACAGAAAATACAGATGAATATTTTCTGAAAATTTGTAAATTTCACACGGTCAGGATCTGTGCACTTACAACTGCAAATCATACAAATAATCTGGTGTGATGATTGGCCTGTTGTCCGGTCACAAAGGTGGGAAAAGCACACAGACTTTTCCTGTTTTCAATGCTATTTAACCCACAAAACTAAAAACAAAAAGTATAAAACAGCCTCTATATCCTGTGGTATTCCCCTGACTGGTTTTTGAAGCACAGCAGTTGGTATGGGAAAGTAACAACAGAATGTACAGTGGATGAGTCAACTCCACTTTAAAACATTTTCAAAATTAAAAAATATGACAGGTGTTGGTGGATGTGGGTAACCAGCTGAAGAATCCAAGAAGTAGTCAACCATGCCAAGGACAGGAGAAATATAGCATATAAAAGTAAACTGGCACTGAAGTTTTAATTTGATTATAGAAATCGAACCAATTTTGTTTTAACAAGCATGAAGCAGGTAAAAATCCAAAATGTCATGAACTGAAGTGGGAGTCTTAAATTCATCCAACAGATGAAGAGTTTCAAACTTTAAAAAAAAACGTTTGTTTGTATAAACAAAGACATATCTGATGAAAATATGTTCAAATTGATTCAGCCTACTTGAATTCAAGTTTCTATACACGCAAACTCGTTAATAATTACAAACATTAATTTGAACCCGAAATAACAGAAAATGTAACTAGATCAAAATATGACTATTTCAGAAAATTAGTTAATTCATGTTTTGTATTACATCTTACCTGTAGCAAATGTGTTATGAACACTGTGAAAGGAAATGGCATTGACAGGATAAATTTGTTCAAGGTTGTTTTCTTTTAGTCGGTGACATTTAAAAGCATATTTTTTCTTCTGCACTTCTGGGTTTGGATCAAGGTACTCCACTGCAACACGTCCTTCAATTGAACTCAGAACATAACCCTAAAAAGCAGAAAGATTTGATCCCATGAAAACTCCAGAAGTTACCAAAACTAGTTAAGTGAAAACCTTTCCGCATAAATCAACAGCTGTCGATCCTCACAATATTCTAATACTTCTTCATTAGATACAAGACAGGAGAAATCAATACATAATTTAGCTCTCATTTACCACTGCTCGAAACATATTGTGAATACATCGTAGTATTAGAAATTACTGGTACCAGCAAAGTGAGAGCAGGTAGAATTGACATGAACACACAAAGTATTTAACTAATAGGCTAAGTAGAATCACCATCTATGTCTTGCTCATCAACAATACCTTTCCACATGCATTTTTGCTTGAACCCACTGACCTTCATATCCTGTTGTAGTCTGCTTCTCTTTAAACATTATTTGAGATATTTTAATGTCACAAAAGATACAAGTAGAATGAATCTTCTGGGTACTACTCAAACATTGGTTTTCACTGAGCAGGAACTCATGGTGATGCCAAGTCAAAATCATGATTCAATACCTAGTAGATATTATCACTCATCAGTGCTTTCGGGCGTTTAACCATACTGCAGTGGGCATCTATAGCTACTTTGCAGCAATTTGAAAGTAGTTTAACAACGATGTTTAATTGCAAGTCCATCTTTTGTATCACTCTAATCAGAAAATAATTCAGTTTTTATACAATGAACTGTGGAAGTAGCTGCAGAGAAAAAGTCAACATGAAAAATTGTTGCCATCAGACTGGCTGCCATGTGTGCAACTGAGCCTTCTACCTCATGTATCCTAATATAGCATGAGGAAATCCATAAACCTTCACACCCTACATTACATATCCAAGGAACACATCAATTATTTATTTTAAATACAAGTCAAAGCACATTGTACTTTCTATTAGTAAAGAGAGAAGCTGATGGGTACTTCATGAATACTCTAGTAAGCACTGTTGCCTGCCTTTGACCAAATCTTTAACAAGACATTAAAAACCGAAAGAATTGCAGGTGCTGTAAATCAGGAACAAAAACAAAGTTGCTGGAAAGGCTCAGCAGGTCTGGCAGCATCTGTGAAGGAAAAAACAGAGTTAATGATTCGGATCTCATGACCCTTCCTCAGAACTTGCATTATTGTTTTACCAGCTGAAAAAAAAATTAAAAGTATAATAAGTTGGGTAAAGTGTGACAACTGCAGCACCTCAAGGTGGAAACTGTACCTTGAAAAAGGAGCTTAATCCAGAAACATGAGAAAAAGTTAAGAGTTTACAGCTCACGAGGTGCACCGCAGAATAAGTTCACTAAGAAAAAGTGTAGAGTGGCCCAGATCTTTTAACAGTAAGAAACTCAGACATCTGGAGTGCAACAATTTGGGCCACTCACAAATAACTTGCCCAGTATTTTAATACAAGGACTGATAACTGTCACAGAACTTTCATATGCTGGTGTCTGTCCCATTCTCATCACTGACATTTATAAACTTGATATATTAAAGGTATTTAAAAGTCAAAGTTTTTTTAATTAAAAAAACTTTGGTTTAAAATAGCTCTTCTG